GAAAATAAAGTAAAATTTTCCTGAATGTTTTCCTTTTAACTTTATAGTTTATGGATTCGAATCTCTGTAATTCGAAAACCTCCATAATCCGAATTGATTCCAGCCGTATATGCGCATTTATATTAGAGATGTGCCGAAACCAGTTTATGCTGAGTCTCCGATTCCGGGTACCCGGCTGAAAAAACCGGGTCCGAGTCCGGGTACTCGGTACCGAGTCCATTTTTTAAAAGTTGTAATAAAAACTTGTAAAATCTCTATTCCTTTTTATGCTAACTAACCAAAAGTTATGCGGCGGAAGTACCATTTAGCAAAACCCCGCAATGCAGGGTAAGGGAGCAGGGTAAGTTGTGCAACAGTTTTTTAATAACTATATTTAGTTTAAAATTTTTTTTCTTTCCTGGTGGAGCGAGCCTAAATAATATTTTGTTATATTTATTATCGAAATTAAAATATGAAAAATGTGTATAATATTTACCTTATATCTCTACTTTTATGATTTTTGCTTGATACGAATGAAAAGTGGTATCAGCATTCGAAAGCATTATAAGCGTTTCATTCAAAACTAAATTGCTAAAAATTATCTTGTGTACTAACAGAATAAAAAGAAGCTATTCTAAAACTTTTTTTCCCATTCTTTTTATTCGTATTCTCGAATTATTTCATTTAGCGTTACAGTTTTTGTGTCCGTATAAATTTTTTTGCAAAAATGTATTAAAAAAATATTTTAAGTGAGATTGTTTTAAGTTAATAGACCTTTGTTTTTATCGACTACATAATATTCTTAGACTTATATCAAGAAGTTTAATAGTTAAAGTTTAAATTTAAGGAAAAATCAATTTGAAGATACCCGGTGCCGGGTACTGCAACAAAATGGCCGATACCGGGTACCCGGTAAAACAGCCGAACTGCCGGGTCCCCGGGTCCAAACCGGGTACCCGGCACATCACTAATTTATATACGGCTGGAATATTAGAGTACAATCTCCGTAATTCGAAAACCTCCATAGTTCGATTAAATACAAAATCACTGTGAAATGCGCTTAAGTTACGTTTGACTTTCTATAATTCGAATCTCTATAACTCGAAAACCTCCACAATTCGAATGGACTTTTTAGACCTGTCAGCAGGGCCGTCCCGAAGAGATTTCAAAAAAAAGGGTGCTTTGTCTGTTTTTTGCCGACAAAAGCCAAAAATAAATTTTTTGCCCACTAACTTACCTAAAAAAAAAAAAGGTCCTCGTTTTCCAACATTTGCCGACTGCCAACTTTAAATCCAATTTTGCAGACTCTAGTATTCAATTTGCCGACTAATAAATTTCGTAGGGGGGCTAGACACCCCCCAACGCCCTCCTCTCGGGACGGCCCTGCTTGTCAGTAAGACTCTCTCTGTAAATCGAATTTTTTTAACTTTTGACGTACAAAAAGGTCAATAAACCGGAAAAATCTTTTTTTTTGATTTCGAATGTTGTGAGTTTTTGAAAAAACGATTAATGTAAATTATCTACTGCTGTTTAAAAAAATCATGGCATCAAAGAGAAAAAAGACAACAATTTAAAGCGTTAAAAAAAAAACTCTAATAGAATTGAAGAAAGGAGAAACAAATAAAGAGGTTTCGAAAATTTTTGATATTCCACCGAACAATATTAAGCTTTTTATCTTACCAGCAATGCTGGTAAGATAAAAAGCTTTAGAAAGATGGCTAGACTAATTTAAGAAAAAACAAAATAATTTGGACATTATTTGACAAAAGCTCTTAAAGATATAAACCGTGTCTTTGACATGAATTTGCTAGCTCATAAAAGACAATCTACAATTTTTGACTTTTTTTTTCAAATTTAAAAGTTTAAAACACATAATATAATAATAATAATATACAATACTGTTGAGATTTAACGCCATGTTAAATCTCAACAGTATTATATATTGTTCACATGTAAATTGTTCTAGAACTTGACTGTGCGATTTGTAAAAAAGCCTTCACAATTTCGATTTAGATATTTTTTTTCGTTTGAATAAATGATGTTTATTACCTCAAATGTTTGAACACGGACCAGAAGAATTTAAAGAGTACGAATGTTGAGGGGGTATTTTCCAAGTTATTTTCTCTATATCATAATACCATTTGTACATTTGTATAAGATCTCCTCGTATTTTTCGTTGTTTTAAAGATGTTAATTTCATTTTTTCTAGTCTTTCACTGTATGATAGATGACGCAGCTCAGGTACAGATTTCATTAATCGTTTTTGAATTTTTCAACACAGGTAAGGAGTCCTTATCTTTTTCAAAATAAGGACTCCTTACCTGTATTGCAAATTCTAAATGCGGCCGTATATAACTACAATACAGCAATTCTATTAGTTCACTATTTTTATACTTAAATGGTTTGCATATTATACTAAATTTATAGTTTGCAATAGATGATACAATTTTGATTTGTGGTTACCATTTTAAGTCATTCAAAATTAATACGCCTAGATCCTATATATTGCTTTTAGGCCTGAGAATTACTATTTGTTTGTTTGCTTGATTTCTATTCGTAACTTTGAAAAGAATATTTAAAAAAAAAAAAAACTTTTTATCAGTCGAAAATCTCTTTAATTCGAACTTTCATTTTTCCTTATTAAATTAATATTCAAATCAACCGTATTATATATTAAAATCAACCGTATTTTTCATATCAGCCGGCTTATGAATAAAGTTTTAACATCATTTTATTCATCAGCAGGCTAATGAATAAAGTTTCCGTGTTATTTACATCTTTCCGTTAATCTTTTTCTGTCTGAAATTTCATTACATTATTTCTAAAAAAAGAAATAATGGAAACGTTGCTCAAATTTGTTTAGATAAAACTAATACTAAAATAAAACATTTACGTTTAAAAAAATTATAATTTTATAGAACTTTATTTATTAATGTAGTTAAAAATAAAATTTTGACTAACGCTCCGTTAAGCTTGACGGAGAGATAAAAATACGGCCAAAGATCAATAAAATTCTCCCTGTAAATCGAACTTTTTCAATTTCTGACGTTTAAAATATATATATATATATATATATATATATATATATATATATATATATATATATATATATATATATATATATATATATATATATATATATATATATATATATATATATATATATATATATATATATATATATATATATATATATATATAGGGCCGCTGAGAGGAGGTTGGGGGGGGGGAAGATTCTGCAAGTCGGTTCTTTGCAAATATCGTGCTATATTGGCCAACATTTAGCCAATTTTTTTTTTTTTTTCGGATTAATATTGTAATTCTACAAATCGGTTTTTTGCTATTTTCGTATTACGTTGGGGCAACATTTGGCCAATATCGTTTAGGCTTAATATTTTGCTAAAAAATCTGTTCTTACATTTATGCCGTAGCCAATATTCGGCCAATGTAGTTGCGTATTAGTATATGTTTTTAAATTTGTTGCAAAAAATAAAAAACATTTTTAAAAATGGTATCATTTGACAGAATAAAAAAAGGTTTTGATATTATCTTTCCATTTTTTTAAATTATAAAAATGAAAAAAAAAGAAGCTATATTATATGAATCTTCTAATAATAAGCTATATGAATCTTCTAAGAATCATAAAGAATAAGAAATAAATTTCAAGAGATTCTCGTGACTTATTGTTTTGTCTTTTTAAATAATGAAATATTTGTTAACATTTAAATAATATGTTTAAAACATTTTTTACTACAATCTAAATTATTAATGTAATAATAAAGGCAATAATTAGATTATTTTTGTGTGAGATCTTAAAGTTATTTTTTTATACATATTGCTGTATTGGCATTTCAAATGTTTGATTTATCTTTACTAAATAAATGTAAACTTTACATTTATTTAGTTTTCAAATGTTTGATATATTAAATAAAGAAGAATTTAAAATATCTTCTTTATTAAATAAATCGAATATTTGAAATGCCAATACAGCAATAAGTATAAAAAAATAACTTTAAGATCTCACACAAAAATAATTTAATTATCCTTGCGGCGAACGTGACGTCACTTTAACTAACTAAACGGCTACCATTATGGTATGGGGGCAAACAAAGCGCTTGAAAATGGAGAAATGTGTTTTTGATTGTTCAATTAATGTTAATAGTCATCCGAACTTGATTTTTTATATTTTGCTTCCTGATCCAAAGAGAAGAAAATCGTGGCTTTATGCTTTATATATAATTGATTCATCTTGCAAAAACAAACTTTGGTCGCAAAACATGTCTAAGTATGCTCAAAACATTTTGTTCTGGTAAGTTTTGTATTTGAATTGTCAAAATATTTGAGCACAAATTTTTCTTGAACTTATTAAGTTTTTTCGTCTATATATTTTTATTCATTGTAAGGGATCGTCCATAAATTACGTCAGGCATTTTTTGACAGATTTTGACCCCCCCCCCTCCCCTCGTCACAAAATCATAACACTTAAGAAGCAAGTTTTGTTTGAGTCGTCACAAAACTACAAACCCCCCTCCCCCTTATAGCGTGACGTAATTTATGGACGACCCCTCAGTATGTTTTTCTTTTAGGAAAAAAAAGAACATAGTCTAGATGCTTTTCAAAATTTTGAAAAGCATGTTGACTATGTTCCATCAGTAAATATGTTAGGTGCTAAAAAAATATATAGTGAAATCATCCCTCCAACATAACCAATTGTTATGTGAAATGAAAGGAGAATAAATAGATTAAACAATTCACTTAGTATATACTATATAGTTTTGGTATGTACTGTATAAACAACAAGATAAACTATATAATATAATTTATCTTGCTGTTTAAAATGTTTTTGTAAAAACTGTTTATGTAATAGTTATAATAAGTTTATGTTATAGTTGTAATAATTTATTTTTGTTATGCATTGATGCAATAAATTAATGTAATAAATTAATGTTCAATAGCTTGTTGAGCACAAATTTTGTATTTATAATTTTTTATATTCCTAGATGCTAATATTTTTTTAGAATATTATGTACAAAAAAGTCATTGCAATAAATCTCAAGTTATTAAAGTCGGTGAACAAATAAGTACTGACAATTCTTTGACTGGAGTGGAAGATGTTAGTGTCTTGAACCAACATGAAACAAGTGAACTTAGCTGAGAATAATGGTAGTTTAAAAATAATGCAGCATTGGCTAGGTAAGTGATTATATGTATTTTGGCTCACTCATAAGTCAATATATATGTGTTTATGTTCTGTGTCGACCTCTGGTGTCGTGTTGGCTCACCCTTTAGACATTATATGTGTGTTTGTGTTCTGTTTCAACCTCTAGTGCGGTGTTAATTCACTTGTAAGTCATTATGTGCATAACTTTATTTTGTTTTATTGTGTTATTATTGTGATGTTATTGTTGTGATGTTTTGTGTTGATAGACAATTTTACTTACCTTCTCGTTGGTGCCTCTTGCTACAAATGATTATTAGATAGTTTTTTTACTTAAACTCGTTACTTCTAATTATTTACTAATAGACAAGAAACATGTTTTAAAGTAAGACATACTTTTAATGTTGTCATTTTTGATCTTTAGGATTGTTCTTAGGTCACAAAAACAACCTTACAAAGTAAGTTTCTTCTTTATTATTTATTTAGTTATATTTTTAATTAAAGTTTTATTTTTCATGTTAACATGATACATTAATTTGTAAATGCAAAGACATTAATTTGTAAATGCTTTCAGCATAAATTGGTTCCATTTTCTTTTGTAGAGTTTTTGCTGTTGTCGCTGGTTTTAGAGAGTACTTTCGTGAATGAAGATAAAAAGTCATTTATGTTATTTTTTAAAAGCCAAGACATAATATTGTTAATCCTCATACCAATTACTAAAAAACTTTATAAATATTGTTACGATGTTATAATTAAAATTGTTGTAATTAGTAATTTTGATCATTTCATTATTAAACTGTAAAAAATATTTTTTATTTATAACATTTATTTCACATATATTAAAAACACGAGGAATAAATATTACAATGAGGAAAATTTTAAGCAAAATATGGAATTTTTAAATGTTATTAGAATATCAATATGTAATATTTTTGTTTTATTTATTGGCTACATCTGTAAACTGTGCAATAATTTCAAAATGATGAATTAATTGAATTCCATGATTCCTTTAAGCATTTGCACAGATTTATTTCAATATAACGCTAAATTTTGTTCTGGTAACGTTCAGCAGCTTTTTTAGATAACTTTTCTTGATAATCATAAGACATTTTAAAGGCGTTTAGGTGAAATCGGCGCGTTTGTTTGCCCCCATATCATAATGGTAGATATTTTTGTTTTTAATTACGCAATGATCAAGTGGTTTTTTCGCCGCAAGAAATGCCTTTACAGTAAAGGCAATAATTAAATTATTTTTGTGTGAGATCTTAAAGTTATTTTTTTATGCTTATTGCTGTATTGGAATTTCAAATATTCGATTTATTTAATAAAGAAGATATTTTAAATTCTTCTCTATTTAATATATCAAACATTTGAAATGTCATACAGTATAAGTATTAAAAAACACATTTTTTTTCATAATTTATTTATAATAGTTTAAATCATATAGTTATTATAAGATATATTATTAAAGGTATCAATAATATATGTGGCATTAAAGTTGTTAGAAGCTGATATTTTAAATTTTAAGTATGTCTTTTTTGTTTGATTTTTTCTGTGTTTGATTGTGAAACCCCATCTACTAATAAATTAAATCAGTGTACAAAAAGTGATGTTACTAGAATTTATATTCTACTTATGTATAGCTATTGCCAGACAATTTATTTATTTATAACTATTGCCAGACAATTTATTTTAAGACCAATGACTAGTCTATAATAATTGATTGAATTACGAGATTAAATCAATAAATAATCATTAAAAACAATTAAAATAAAAAGACTCAATTTAAATCGTTATTTTTATTTGTCTGATTTAAATCATGATATAAATCGAAACAAACCTTTATATATTCCATCTTTCTGAGGCAGAGGGACATTATTCTTGGTTGCTCTCAAATACTGACCACAGAAATTATATTTAGTTGCGAAAAACTGGCCAGATTTTTTAATCGTTTTGAAAACATTTAAGTTTATGAACGTAACAAAAAAGTTTTGTTGGATTTCAAAGTTGGTGTCACCAACTTTGAAATTAATTTGAAATCAACTGTTGAAAAAAACAACGAAGTGTTCATATCAGTTTAAAGTTTTAATAGTTGCTGGTGGTTTATTATTATTCATTATATAAACATTTATTTAAATTTATCTAATAGACGAAAGTAATACAATATTTTTATGGATGATATTATTTTTAAAAAATGTATTATTAAAATTCTAAAATATGTAAAAAAATCATTTAAAAAAAATTATTTAACTAAAATATGTAAAAAAAAAAATATTTGCAAACATTGGACAAGGTCTGTACTGTACCTGGAAAATCTGGAAAATATGTTAATATTGGCCAAAGTCGTGGAAAAACTGGAAAAGTCAGGGAATTTTTTTTTTTAGATAGTTATGGAAAAGTCAGTAATTCTAGTTAAGAAGTTCTTTGTTTCACAATTCAACGCTGTATTTTGAAAACGTAAAGAGTCACACTTTTTTTAAAAGTGAGGTTATTTGAAAAGAATATTTATTTTTAGGAAAAGATAAAATTATAAGATAAAATAATTTTTTTTTAGATAAAATAAAGATTTTTCTTTGATAAAATAAACAATTTTTATATAACATAAAAATAAAATTTTTTACAGGAGAAATGTTTTTTACTCTCCTGTAAAATTTTAATTTTGTGACTTGTCACATTTTCAAAATACAGCGCTCAATTAAGCTATTATGTTTTTTTTGGTGCTACCCATTCATTTTTTCTGAACTTATGTTTTTCTTAGTGTTCATTCTTAGTCATCCTTAATAATAAGATCTATACTAACATGTATAAAAAGATCCATACTAATATCCAAATAACTAATAGCAAAGTTTTATAAGTTTTGTCATTCAAAGCATGTAAAATCTTAGCATTTCCATTACAGTAGATAGTAATTTTAAATATTTTGTAAAAACCATTGTTAAAAATGGTCAGGGAAATTCATCTGATTTTTTCAAAAAAGTCATTGAACTTTATATAAATAGTTGGCTATGAACCCTTTTCGAGAAACATTGTTTTAATATGAATTTTTTTGTTTTACAGTGCAATCTCAAACATTAACTAGAATTGTTTTGTGTCAGTGCCAGAAATTGAATGCACACCTGCAAATTTCATAATTCATAAAAATATTATGAATCCATTAGCAAGTATCTATTTTTATTATTAAAAATTTGCCCCTTACTTTTTAATTTTATCTGTTATATTAGTGATTGTTGTATTTACTTTCATAAATTCTAAATATAATATGTAGTTAGTTGTTTAGTTTCTTAATAATATCATTAACTTTATTGTTTCAAGATAAAGTTGTATCCTTTAAAGATATGCTGGTATTATAGACACAATCGGCAAGCATTGAAGTACAACTTAATGAACTACAAAATACATCAAATTCAGTTATAAAAATTTGAGTAACAAAGGTATGCTAATTATTCTATTGTCTGAAAGAGTATCATTGCCATTAAAAGCAATGAAGAAGTCAAGTACTCTGGAAGAAAAAAGACAAAAAAAAACTTAAGTAAATGGTAATGTAGTAGTGGTGTAGTGGTAGAACACTCGCTTCATAAGCGAGAGGTTCTGATTTCGATCCCCACCACGTCCCTGGTAGTACTGCGCTCAACTTGTTTCTTTGCGCAGCGGCCTTGTTCGTCAAGGTTCGTGTTTCGGAGTTATAGAGTTGAGAGAGGGTTATAACCACTATTAAGTAGCCTCCTCGTCTGTAGTGGCCTTCTCGGCCTTGAGGAGGTGAATAAAAAACAAAATAATAAAAAAAATATTTTTTTATGATCTGTTTATGCATTTTGTATATATAGATATCTTAGTACAATTTATATACTTTAAATAAAATACTCTTTGAAGATTTTTTGTAAATGAAATTTTATTAATTTAAGTCGAAACAAAAGTTACTTTAATTATTGCCAGGTTGTGTATTTTTGCAGGTCAATTATTTGGCACAAATTGGTGTTAAAGACGAAGGAGATAGTATATGTTATTTACTAAGAATAGTTTTTTAAAATGGCCTAGCTGTAAAATTAAATTATGCAGGGAGAAGACAAAAAATTGGAATAGGAAAAATGTTGATTGCATATGTTGCTATTGGTAAGTGGTTTAGAAAAGTTTATTTTTTCAGTTTCAATTTTGCATTACAGAATTACTTTCAATTTGTTGTGTTTCTTTGGTGCATAATTAAACAAACAACAATTTTTTTCCAGAAAGTCAAATAAGCATGGCTTATGCAGACATGTGATAGAGATAGTGGAAGAAAAAATAATAATCGTAGGCACCAAATATCATAAGCTAAACGCGATTCAATAACAAGTAGCTCAGCCAATATCGAAACTACTCTGTAAATTTTGTTGTGAATTTTTTTATTTAAATCTCAATGTGTCAGTTTTTGGTTTAAGTTTGGTGTTTGCAATATGTATATTTAACCGAGTAATTATGTTAAATAAGCAAAATTTTATACTTGTATCATACATTCGTTTTTTTCTCTATAAATTTTCAATGTAGCGATGCAAATCATCTTATTTGTAACAACGATCTAATGTTGCAAAAACGTTAGCCCGATATATTACATACGATATTGAGCCAATGTTGTATACAACGTTAGGCCAATTTTGTATACAACGTTGGGCCAATGTTGTATACAACGTTTGGCCAATGTTGTTTACAATATTGGCCTAACGTTATATACAACGTTTTACCAATGTTGGGTAAACGTTGTATACAACATTGGACCAATGTTGAACACAACGTTGGGCCAATACCTAACCAATGATCAAATCTGCATTAGGCCAACATCGACTTTCAACATAGGGCCAATGCATCATCATGCATTGGTCCAACGTTGGTCCAATGTAAGCTTGCTGTCTGGGAAGCGGCGTGATGGTTTTCGGCGGCCCTATATATATATTTATATATATATATATATATATATATATATATATATATATATATATATATATATATATATATATATATATATATATATATATATATATATATATATATGTATATATATATATATATATATATATATATATATATATATATATATATATATATATATATATATATATATATATATATATATATATATGTATATATATATACATATAATACATTTAGTATATATATTTATATATTTAATACATTTAGTATATTTAATAAATTTATATACATTCAATATATAAATATATTTAATATTAAGTTACATTTTATTCAAATCTATTGTAAAGAAATATCATTACATGAATTCATATTCAAAAAATCAGTTATCATTTGAAATGGTACATCATTAAAAAAAAAAAACATTTAATACGGTACATCACTGCAAACAACCATATATATATTTAATTGGGGCAAGTTTTGAAAATAGGAATATATTTCAGAACGTTAACAAAATTCAATCGTGTATAATGCAATAATTTAATTTAATTAAATATTTTTAAAAAGTATATACCTGTATAAAAATAATTCACTTTACAGAAATTAAAAATATTATTTAAAAAGTTATGCATTATTAAATTAACAGCTCAATTTACGCTAACTCACTGTAAACTAAACTGAGTTAAAAATATTCTAAGCTAAAGTGCATATTACAAACAAACTAAGCTATTAGTTTAAAAATAGACTGTTTATTATAACTTTGAAGGCTTTACTTTAAGGTACTACATAAAAAAATGGGTTTCTGCAAAAAAATCGGGTCTCAAAAACCTCAGTGCAAGCGGACATTTCAGGCGGGATTTTCTACATCAGGGTTTTCCACAGGTTTTCAAATTTTTGACGTTTTTACTCGGGTTCATTTTCGAAAACACAATTTTCGAAAATTTTTCATTAAAACGTTATCGATAAAAAACATTTTTTTGGATTTTGTAAAAACTTTCGAATACTATAAAATAGCTAAAATAATTCCTAAAACTTAAATTTAATTTTGCAAACTCATTTTATTTTCGAAAACGAAAAATATACTAAATTAATTTCGAAATTTAAGTTAAATTTCGAAAAGTTAAATTTCGAAAAGTTAAATTTCGAAAAAAAAAAGAGTTTTGAAAAGTTAAATAAGTTTCGAAAAAAAAACCATTTCGATTTGCTAAATTACTTTCGGAAAATAAAAAAGTTTTACTAAAGGTAATTAAATTAAAAAGAACTTCGATAAGTTAAATTAGTTTCGAAAAAAAAAGGTTTTCGAAACTAAATTTTTAAAGTTTTCGAAAATGATTTTTTTTTGAAAAAAAAAAAATGAGTTTCGAAAAGTAGAAAGTCTGTTTGTGCATTCAGTGAACGCAGACGTTTCAAAAAACTTTAGGGCGTTTAGACGTTTACAAAAATTAGTAGGGCGCCTACTAAGTACTACTACATGCAACGTTCGACTTTTGGGGAGTACTTGTCTCAAATCCAACTAACTTTTAGGATTCTGTCTTTTTCTTTACCCTCAAAAATTATTTTAATCTTAAAAATAGTTTTAAACCTACAACACTTGGTTTAACAAAGTTATGGGCTCAGGTTAACATAGTTAAAGAGCTTTTACTCCCTTTAAGTAAAAAAATCATTTTTAAATGTAAAATATTAAATATATTTACAATTAAGATTAAATTATTAAAAAAATAATAACAATAATTACATTGCATCTAAAATTTAATTATATAAAGTTGATTTTAAATTTTTATGTTATGACATTCAATATTTTAAAAAATAATTGCGAATCGGCGAGTTTATTTTAAATTGCACCTGTTGCCATCTAGTAGGAAGCAGCAAAACTTAAGCATTACTTAAAATAAAAAAAAGATAAAACAGGGTATGATTTTTGAATTTAAAGTTTGTGTTGCCAAATGGCAACATTGGGAAAGACAGGGTTAAATTAATTTCATACTCTATAAATATTTTATTTTTATTCTATTGAAAATGTAAAAATTTGAATAAATTCTAAACTAAATCTTTAAAAACAACTAAACTATAAATAAAACTAGCAAAAACTATGCAATATTTAAAAGGTCACATCAACATATTTGTTCCGGTAGGTAAAAAAAATGCATTAGCGAAAAAATCACATTACGGAAAAAATAGCGAAACAAAAAATCGTCTATTCATAGCAAAACAATAAGAAAATAATTACATATTTATTATACAATTTCACTATTAACTTGCGTCCTTAGGGCTGTTCAGTATGCTAATTTGTTTTCAGAACATAGCTAAGTGAAGTTTTTCCCATTTAACTATCATATTGTGGTTCAAAAATATTTTTTACTAAATTTTATTATTTGCCCTAAAGGTCCCTCAAAGCCACTAAACATTTGACAGGTCCCTAATATTATTAAAAAAAAAAAATATTTAAAAATATGTCAACTTGGTACTCAAAAGAAGCAAAGTTTTATAAAAATTTTAAAAATTAGATTCATTTTTTATAAAAAACAACTTAAAAAAACTTATTATTAAAAATGTTGTGAATATTACCTTTTTTTCATTTTTCGTTTAAAAACCATAGTTTTTATTCAAAAAAACCTAATATTGTTTTTTTTTATAAAAAAGACTTTTTGTTTTTGAAATTTTTAAATGATTTTGCTTCTTTTGAGTACCAAGTTGACATATTTTTAAATAATTTTTTTTTTCAATAATATTAGGGACCTGTCAAATGTTTAGTGGCTTTGAGCGACCTTCAGGGCAAATAATAAAATTTAGTAAAAAATATTTTTGAACCACAATATGATAGTTGAATGGGAAAAACTTCAATTAGCTATGTTCTGAGAACAAATTAGCATACTGAACAGCCCTAATGCGTCCTGCACATACAAGGTTAGAAATCTGTTTACCTCGTTTGCGCTCTGTCAACTTTTCTAGATATAAGAATCCCTCCTAAGATTATCGTATCTAAGTCGAATACATCTAAGAAACAATCAACATTACACTAAATTATTGTTGTTTTTCTCTCCCAGACAGAATGTTTTTCATACGTATGAACAGGCCATTAGAGCAACGTTATATATTCGTTTTGCAAATTTGTCCGAGTTTTAATTTTTTGTTATTATAAATATTCATTTAGTTGCAGTTTTTAGAATTAATGTAATAAAATAAATATTTTAAAGTGATTTTAAAAATTTCGAAAGTAAAAAATTATTTCGATACCGTTTTTATGATTTCGATAATATCAAAATATTTCGATGCAAATTATAGAGATTCGAAAGTGAAATATTTTTTCGGTAAATTTTCGATAATGTAAGTATATTTCAATACAATTTTTAAAGTTTTGAAAGCGAAAAATAATTTCGGAGCTATTTTTTAAATGTAATGATAGAATATTGTGAATTTCGTAAAGCAAAACTAATTTCGGTTCAAAATTAAGTAACTAGAAATCGTTTCAAACTTACAGAAACAAATATAGAGTTTCGAAAAGTTTTTTTTTAATTAAAAACTCAACTATTGCAAAAGTGAACAATCTTATAAAACATAACCTCTGGATATTAATTCAGGGTTACAATGCTGTCCCATTGATTGTTAGAGACCAGTTAAGCGCAATAGCTATTCTTTCGTTATAAGACCTGTCATCGGTTAAACTTTTTGTAGAAGAGAATGGTCAATTAATTTCAGAAGAATAAATTAAC